TTGGCACTTCCCAGCCTGTCTTGTGACATTTGGGAATTGCTTATGGCTCTGTGACACTTCTGCCAAAGCAGCTTCGTTGAGGCCTTTGTTAGCTCCTGTGGCACCAGCCCTAGTAGAAATTTGCCTTTTCAGAACTGGTGTTTAAAGATGCACATGTTGTTTTGCAGAGGCATTATATGAGACGTGTCCCTGGGAGTGTTACGTCTTCGCGCTCATCATCTTCATCACCATGACGAACCAGATCCACAAGTGGTCCCACACGTACTTTGGGCTCCCACGCTGGGTCATATTCCTGCAGGACTGGCACATTATCCTGCCCAGGAAGCACCACAGGATCCATCATGTGTCTCCACACGAGACCTACTTCTGCATCACCACTGGTACTGCCCTTGGGGTCGTGCTGCAGCCTCCCTTGAGTGCAGTTCACCTGCCGAGATGTAACTTAAGGGCAGCCTATTGAACTGGAAAAGGGCATGAAGTTAACTGTGAACTTACTGCACAGGCTCTTAGTAAAACTGGAGTTGGTTTTGTTGCATAAAAAATGGGGGGGGAAGTTTTGTGATCAGCTAAAGGTGACTTGCAGCCTGAGGGAATAGTCAGTGGTGCTGAGATCCAATGGAGTGGAGTCTTGGTAAGCTCATGCCTCTAATGGGTTTTGTTCACTAAAGTCTTAAAGCTGCTGTTCCTTCAGGAGAGCATTTAATCTGCAACTGGTCTGGAATGCTCATTTCTAAAGCCAGGCTTCTGGATTTTCAGCATCCACTCATTCTAACTCAGGGTAGAGGAGTGGACAGGCTTTGCTGCCTTTCACTTCCTTTTATATCCATGTTCAATATTGTGCCCACTGGACAGGTGGGAATGCCCAGTGACCAGTGTTGCACAATCCTAAATAAGTTATCAGGTTAATCAGACAGCAGAAAATAAACCACTCTAGTTCTTCATTCTGTCATTGGCTTTGTCAAACAGTTCATGTGGGTTTTGAAACCTCTGCCAAGAAACAAATCTAGTTCTCATTAGCAGAATGTCATGTAAAAACATGATACAATTAAGAAGCCTGACTTGACAGATGATGACAAAAATCTTGCCACTCAAAGATTTTTTAGTCCTACTATGTCCTGAAAGTAAAACCTGACCATTATTAGCAGTCTTAGAGCAGTTGAACTTTGGATGCTATGACAAACTAATCCTCTTTTTCCTTTGCAATCCCTTAGGTTGGCTGAACTATCCATTAGAGAAGATAAGATTCTGGAGGTGTTTGGAGAACATCATCCAAGGACTTACTGGGGAGAAGCCAAGAGCAGATGACATGAAATGGGCTCAGAAAATCAAATAACTTTTGCCAGCCTTCTGCAATCCTTAACTTGTTGCCAATGTTGTTTTTAAAAGAAAAAAAAAAATAAAGCCATCAGCCAAATTCAAGACCTGCAAAGAAATAACAGACTCTAAAGCACAAACTAAAAAGTGCTAACACAGACTGCAATGAAAAGAACTAATTCTTAAAACAATACTTGAAATGAAGATGATTACTCTCACTGAGCACCTTTTTGTTTAGCCATGTCTGCTTACACATTAGAACGTGCTGTGTCCGTGAGCTGTCGGGCAGCCCGAGGGCAGGACAGTCACTCCAGTGGTACGTGGTGGTGTAGGAAACATGTGTTGTATCAACATTATTTAACACTTCCAAAATAGCTTGTTGCCTAAGTCCTATAGGGAGAGTGGTGACAAGGGTTTGTCACTCCGTGTTCGAGTCCAAGTGCTCTACATGAGAGCAGTGTCAGGGCAGGGGGAGCCCAGAAAATCATGACTGTTCAATGCACTTTGTGACTGATCAACGTGCAGCTCTGTCTTCACTATCATGTTAAATCCAATTGATGTCATGTGGAACAGACTTTGAGAATCCTGCTCCTCCAGTGGGCCACGAATCCTCAAGTGTCTTCAGCTTCCCTTAAAATAAAATTGTTCTACTCTCCACGTGGAATTGAGCAAACCATTTCTACATAAGCCTTCAATTTAAGGAGCCTCTGAGGAGGGAGGGCACCCCGTACAACACCTGCTCGTGTGGAGTGCTCAATGATGAGTCTGCTATTAAGTGTTTCCTACCCTGACAATAAATGTTTAAACTAGTTCTAGCATTGGGCACACTGCAAATAGCTGTATTCAAGAGCTCAAGGTATCAAACTTGTAATGTTAGAAGGGAAATGTCAATGACTGGTGTTTTGTTCTTTTTTTTTTTTTTTTAAGGTGCTTGCTTGTTTCTGTAAATAATATAAAGCCTTAATCTCTTCTGGTGTAATGGAATAATATTTTAATGTGATGTTTGAATGTATATAATATATTTATAACAAAGCAGTTGGATAATACTAATCATGTTTAAGTCTTGTTGCTGTTCTTCATTGCTACACTGTCAGCACTCAGTGCAGGAACTCAGTCATTGACTGCAAAACACTTTGTGCAGTTCCAGCCCCCTGAGACACCTGTCAGCCTGTTATGTCCTGTTTAGGTTGGAGTGAACATTTGTCAGTGTTGTAGGAGCCTGTGTTATACCACACTTCTACACCTTTCAAGAAGTGCAAGTAATTAAGTAATTCTGCTTTGGATGCGAAGGAGTAACTCCGAGTGCTTAGAAACAACATCTCTTGCTGTGCGTACAAAGCACTGCAGTGGATGGTATTTATACCATCTTGACAAAAGTTTATATTCATACCTGCTTCTATCTTGAGACTCCTGTAATCCCTATTCTAACAGATCTGTGGTCCTTAGTTGTCTATCCCTCCTGCCCTCATCCTTTCTTCCCCTTTCCCTCACCCTCGACCCCAGTTTGAGTTAACTAAACCAGTGTGAAAGCCCAGGACAGAACTGGGTGAATGCTCAGGGCTCCTGTGTAAAACAGCCTGAAGCACTGGGTCCTCTGAGAGCTCATTTCACTGCAGACAGAAATGCCAAGTGAGCAGTGCAGTGGATGTAACAAATGGATTTGGGACACACAAATTACTAGAATTTGTCTGTCCAAAGTGCCATTAAAGGCAGCTGCCCAAACCTCTCTTGGCCCCTTGAGCCTTATTGGAAACAAATCTGAGCTACTCATGCTGGTGGCTGCTGGGACTATTTATCTATTAATCTTGCTTAATTATGAGAAACTGGGACAGCAGTTAATCTCTGGATGCAGTTTTCCATGGGATGCTGTGCTGGGATCCAGAGACTGAGCTGGCTCCGTGACTCCTCACTCCTGACACAGCTCCCAGGTCCCCTGTTTCACCCATTTAAAGATGTGGATCCTTCCACAAAACCAATATGGCAATTCTGGAGCAAAAGGCTACATGGATCCTTCTTAACAGCTGCAAATCTGGCTTAAGATAAATTTGTCTTAAGTTGATTAGGAACAGATTAGAGCTGAAGCAGAATAAGGCACTCCTGTTAAACTCCACAGAGAGCATTTCAGTTTAAATGCTTTTAAAAGCTCTCTCATTTCAGTCTCACCTCCACAGAAAGCTGTGCTCAGGCTCCTGCTCTCTGCCCAGACTGCAGCTGCCCCCGGCGAGCGGGTGCTTGTGGTCACACAGGGCCTTGGAGGAGCAGGAGGGATTCCTTATGTGGATCCGGGGAGCTGGTGAGATTCCCTATGTGGATCCATGGCACTGCAGAGGCCCTATAGACAGAGCTGTCTGGGGACACAGCTCCAAGGGGAAATGTTGCACTGCAGTAAACTGAGAAAAATTACTGCAAAGAGCCTTAAAATCCCACTCAGGGATTTCTTAAGCTAGGACAGACTGAAGGTTTGTGTTTGCTTTGAGTTTCTTATGGACACAGGTCAGACTGCTCAGCTTTCTGAGGGCTTTCAGCTTCTTCCATTTTGTTCCATTTTGCTGCTGGGTTAATTGTCCGTGTTCTCCCACCCATCTGTCTGCAGCCCTGACCTGTCTGCTGCCTCTGTGACATCCTGGGGACCAACACGGAGCCTGCTCGGAGCTGGCATTGGCTGGGAACAGGCAGGAGGCAGTGGTGGCACACAGGGAAAGAGGGGACCCTGAGCAGCCTCCAGACCACAGGTGCAGGGACAGAAGTGTTCTTTCTGGCATGGTTTTGTTCTGCAGCGTATTAAAAAAGAAAAAAAAAAACAAACCTCTTGAAGCAAGAGGGGTCTCTGGCTGCTCGGTTCCAAACCTGGTTATCCAGGTCCACTAGTCCCCTTGCCCTGGCCAGCTCAGCTGGGCTCCCCTGTCCCCATCCAGCTCTGGGCTC